TATTGTACAAAGATTCCAAAGGTGCAAAAAAAAATAACATTATTGAAAAACATAGTCAAAACGGATACTAATAAGTTAAATAAACAAACATCAGTTTCCAAAACTTGCACTTATAACTAAAAAGTGAACAACACGAACCATACATAAACTCCGGGTAAACTCAGTTGCCCCAGGAGGAAAATCTGTTTCTAATAAAAGGCTTGCACACTTCGTGAGGCTTATGACCAGGGAAACTCTGTTGATAAGCTGGATTCGGTGACGTCATAGATATTACAAAATAATATGTATCTTAGGGCTGCGTCTGGTTTATGACAAACTTTTAAGGTAATTATTTTAGTGTGAAATGATGTGATAATTTCATATTATATATTTGTTTATTTGATAAAAATGTCTTTTCGACAGTGTAAACACTGAAACGCATCACATATATTTCAATGGTACAATTGATCAGTTGGAAATTAAAAAAAAGTTGTGTAAATATGTATGTGTGTATATTTTCATATTTAATTTTTTGATAGTTCTAACTTCCTTGAGGCAAAAATCATAAAATTTTTCACTTAATACTGCGCTATTGTCATCAATATCATGTTAAACAGGAAACGTTTGAACTTTGATCGTTTATATATTGTATCATCATGCAATAAAAAACTAATACAGTGCTGGATTTAACCTGTGTACCATAAAGTACACATTGTATGGAGAACATGCTTGCTTTTGCTTATTCTATAACAGCATCTTTATTTGCATATGTTTCTTGTCATACATGTTTGATTCAAGACAACAAAGGAGATTGTTCGTCACGAGGGTTTGAAACTGTTCCACAGGATTTACCGCGGAATCTTACGTCACTGGACTTAAAACGAAATTTAATAGGTACAATATCACATGTCGATTTCCAATTTTATGGAAGATTGGTAATACTAATTTTAGACAAGAACAAGATTTCCGTACTGCAATCAAATGCTTTTAGAGGACTTAAACATTTAAAGCATCTGTCAATGGCTGAAAACAGGCTTGATCTTAATACATCATATGTCTTGGAAATATTTGGACCTCTGAAATCTCTAGATAGGCTGTACATTTCAAGAAATATGCAAGTAGGAACAGATTTGCCAGTTTATTATCCGTTTTTCGGATATTGTCGTAAACTTACAATTCTAGAAATGGATCTTGCTCGAAAGCCAGTGTGGAATAAATGTGGATTGTCAAAACTGAAACAGTTACGAACTTTATCTTTCAACTTCTGCTTTTTAGATAAAATGACAAATGGAACCTTCGCTGGTATGCCACCATCAATAGAAAATGTGTACTTCGCTGGCTGTAAGGTTCGTGAGTTGGCTGAACTAAACTTTCTTAAACCTTTTCATTCGTTGAAGATTCTTCGCTTATTCCAAGTTTGCATGGACATTGAGTCAGCACTGAAGATACTATATCCTTTTAAAAAAATGGAAGAGTTAAACTTAAAAGAAGTTAATCCTGGCTATTGTGATGGACTTATTAGAGCTCCTTATGCAGTTATAATAAATGCTGATATGACAAAATACTTGCGAAAAGTATGTTTAAGAAAATTAATTTTGATAAGAAATGGTATTGTAGATTTCAAGCAACATTCTTTACTTTCTTACAATCATCCTGAATGTTTTGTTACAATAATTTTTTTCTGGAGACCGATTTTCAATGACAAATGGATTTAAAACAGTGGAACTGACAAAGCTCATACTGCAGTTATCAAGTCTTGTAACTTTCAATTATTCTGGGATTCTCAGTATTTCAACTGACGAAATGAATTCAGGTTTAACGGCCAATACAGAATATGCAGAAAATCTGGATCATTTGATTGCAAATAATAGGAAATCGGATGTTCAGATAACGTTCCCGTTCCCTCAATCATTGCAAATACTTGTTTTGTCGAAATTTGCTGGAGTTCAAGGAACTACACCACACACAATATACTTATCGAATATTAACTATTTGCGTGTTCTCGATTTATCCTATTTCAAGATGAAGTATTTTCCAAATATTGTGCTCAATGGAACAATCTTCTTAGAATATGTTGACCTTTCAGGTATTGACTCAACTCTGTACTCAGGAAAGAAGAATATTCCTTTGTTTAAGGAATCCAAAACTTTGATATTAAAACATGCAAGGCTTGATTTGACACTTAGAAGAAGTAAGCAAATATTTAGTCTTGTGCCAACAGTAAAAAGATTGGATATATCATATAACCACTTATGGTTTCTGCCAATTGACGCATTCAACTCGAACAAACACTTACGACATCTTGATATGGGATTCAACTTATTTTCGGAAGTACCAATAGCGGTGCACACATTAACAAATCTTGAAGTTCTAAATTTAGAACATAATAATCTCCAAACGATCAATGAGACGTTTCAGCTGTTGTTCGATTGGAGATATGAGCGAACTCAGGCTTCGTTTCAATTAAAACTTTCAGGAAATGTTTTTAGATGTAATTGTGAGAATTCTGACTTTGTGTTATGGATTTCAAAAACAAAGATAAAACTTGATAAACCTGCGAGAAACTATACGTGCCAGTTGGAAAACGGAACATATACTAATACACAGAAAGCGGCAGAAAACTTCCATGAATTTTATGGTAATTGTGAAAATGAAATGTGGCTCCGAGTTGGTATATGTTTACTCGTGATATTCATAACATTTACTACTCCTATTGCAGTTATAGTTAATTTCAGGTGGCGAATAGCATATTGGGTATATCGAGTTTTTAAAAGAGTTGTTGAAAATGATTTAAGGTCAAAATTCAAATACGATATTTACTTATCATACTCAGATGATTGCTTCAATTGCGTTAAAGATATGTTAATACCGAAAATTGAGATCACATGGAAAATGAAAATGTGTATAGAGGATCGGGATATTTTGGCTGGAATTATCCGATCTGATGCTATTTCCCAGTCTATTCATGAAAGTAAAAATATAGTATTTGTCATTTCTAAATCATTCACTGAAAAAACATGGGGAAAGTTCGAGATTCAAAGAGCAAAGTATGAAAAGTACACTGGACATCTGCAGCGTATTATTGTCATTACCAGAAACGTCCAAGTAGAGAACTTCCCAATCGAACTCGATTGTATTCTCGATGATGTCTTTCTTGTGACTTGGTCAGATCAGGAAATTGAAAATGGATGGGATAAGTTGAGAATGGCGTTGTTTTCAGACTATAGTTAACTTCAACAGTATTGCTGAATATGTTTCACAGGTTATCTTGCAGCCTTGCAGAACAGCTGCATTTCTTTAATAGGACTGCAAAAGGAATTGTAACTGCATTTTGGGATATAAGAAGATTGCAAAGAACTAATTGGGCTGTTCAGTAAAGCATAGAATTGACAACACTTTCGAGTTAGATTCGTATGTTATTATTACTGGTTATTTTCCAGTTTTTAAATTATCGTGCAATTTCATCTTCCCGTTAGAATAAATATCAATGCAATCGTCGAGTTCGCTGATATCAATTATATAGAAATACAGAATGATCAGGAATCTCAATATAATACAAGATTAATATTTATATATAAACATTCCAAAAAGGTATTGAATTTCAGATTTTACATAGAAGAAAATATACGAGCAAGCTATTTATCTTACCGATTCAACACTACAATATGGTCTGTGGATATTGCTTTTATTTTTTTATTAATATTGCTTTGTTTCATTTAAATAAAACCATATAATATATTATTTTCAAACACAAACATGTATGTACATTCACGGTACTACATTGTACAATATTAAGATACCCATATTTTCACATTGCACAAGGTCAGGTTTTTCTCTGACTGTTAATGACGTCTTTACACTTAACCAATTTGATGTTGAATGTATACTGATTGACATTATGGTCTTAAATACATGATTATTTTAGTTGTTATTGGATTGAATTAGCCGACAGTAACTGAGAATACTCTCAGATATGTACTTTGTGCTTGTTTTTCTTTTGGGAGGATTGTATAAATACCCTGCCACGTCCGATCTGTTTTTGTTAGATGTCTTGTTTCGATCTGATGAGTTACTGATTTTTGTGTTCTTATGTTGTACTATTACACCACCATTCCATATTAGGGGGAGGGGTTGACGCCATCGAACATGTTTCACTACGCTCCAATTTTTATATGCCTGTCCCAGGACAGGAAATTGCAGTTTAAAGATTGTCATTGGTTCATGATTGTCATTTTTTTGTTTTTGTAAATTCTTTTGTTATGAATTAGCTTGCTTTTAGAACTTAAAAGAGAGTACCAGGAAAGTTGTTGTTTCAATGTGTAGTTTTAAAAAACATCGTATCACGCGACAGTTTTCTATGCACATGGCTAGATAGTAACACGGGCAAATTAAGCAAATTTTATGACAAAAGTCTAGTTTACCTTTTTTCCAGTCACGAAAATATATTGTATGGTGATATCGTTCAAATGGTGATGTTTTCATGTAGATGATGTTGTACTGATCCCAACACTATATCAGGTGATATTTCTGTGTCAAATAAAATTGGAGTAAGTTGATTATTGAAATTGAATAAGAGTCAAGTTGACATAATATCTCCATTTAGTACATATAAATAGAAGTCTCTTCATATTTTTTTATTTGATATATTATCGTCATTCAAAAATATGAAAAGTTTAATAAATATGTAGAATTTTAATTAGGTATTCAACGTTTAGAATTTTAAACACAAGGAAACATAATCTGATATTTGAACATTGATTATTTCCGTGAAATTTTGCAGACAGTGCAAAAATTCATATTGTGATTTCAAAATGATTCACGTTAAAGGACTTTAATTTGTAATCGAAATGTTCTTGCAGTCAACATCTAAATACTTCAAATCGAATAAAACTATATTCTTGAAGCTGATCTCTTTGATAATGTATTTCATGTACAAAACTTGCATGTTTCCTAGATGAACTAAGCATTTTTTATAATCTATGGAAAATAAAGTACAACAAACTGATAAAGCAGTTTTTCATTTATCCTTTTGTTACCTAAACAAGAATTTTATTTGCTAGTTGTTACTATTGTTATTTTTCGGTAGGTAAATAATAAAGGTACTACTGATTTCATGGTCCCCGAAAACAAAGTTAGCATGGTTGTTTTTGTACACACTCAAATATAGATGCTGTATATGAGACCTTGCAGTTTCTATGTTTGCCAGTTCAAAAGTGGTGATAGATCCCTAAACACATTTTCAATTAATTAAACACAAATGCATTTTTAGTCGATTATTTTGGAACATTCAATAGGAGTTTAAAGTTGGGCTGCTGTTTCATTGACGTATACTCGTTTGTTCCTACTATATTTATGATACTCAAGATAGATGGTTTTGAAAGATCAAAGGAAACAAAATTAATGAGTTTATGATTTGAATATTCCGATCGACAACTTTGTTTGATTTGTGGCGATTTCGAACTTGACGTTTTTTCTTGTAATGACAATATTACGTGACATATTTTCTTGTATCTCAAAAGGTTGAGAACTTTGGGAATGCTTTCAGTTAATTTCAGTATTTTTACTATACTACATACAGTGTTTGAGCTGAGCCTAATATGTTGGAAATACCCCGATTTTGTCAAAAGTGAGAAAAGAAATATTGATGAAAAGATGTGAGCTACGAGAGCTAATCCAATGGATCTTTGGCAAAACTACTTTAATTTTTTCTGTTGTTTAATAACTAAAAGCGTCATATTTTTGTATTATTTCCATTTAAGTACGCGAAATCTCCTTTAAAAAGTTTTTTTTTAACAATTAAAACTCTGACCGGATGAATTAATAATAAGATTCAAATAAAGAGTCGCTGCAACAAAAGGTTACCCTTTCCTATAAAGAAAAATAATCCGTAAACAAAGCACACTGATTAGATAATTGATCCATTGTTTTAATCAACTATCTACGATTTATAGGTTAGTCAAAGCAAAAATTAACTGTCGCCGGTTAATTCTATAAGAATTCAATGACTTTCTTCTTCAATGTTAAAATTGCATAGTTTTGACAGCTTAAACATTCAATTCTCGCTCAGAAATATAATGAAATATAAACTGGTTTTCGTGTGACATTTTTTTTTTCATGTTTACAATAATTTTGTTAAGCATTATACAGTTCTTGTGGTTTCCGTTAATCTACTTGTCAGTGGGTGTTAATCCTCTTCTTCCCAATTGTAAATATGGCATGCAAAGAACTGCATGTAAACATAGAAGATTTGCATCCGTTAAATTTAGATCAACACCATTTACTGTACATGAAATTTGACTCGAATTCGAAGTTTATCTTGAAGTATAACTGGAATTGCAACTCAAACTTCAAGCATAACCCTAACTTCAACTCGAACTCGAACTGAAAGTAGAAGATGAATTGGAATTCTAAATCGAAATCAAACACGATATCTAAATCAATGGTTAGTCACACTCCTCATTGACGTCTGAGTTTTGATAAACCGTTTGGTGTCTTCCACTTCCTTTGAACTCAGTATTCAAACTGGGTTGGAAATATCAACATAATTTTTATTAACAACGAATAACAAATTAATGTATATAAGTTATGTACTAAGTTAGGAATATGACAGGTTTTTTTTTTTCATTTGTTTGATGTTTTTGATGAAGCCATTTGATAAAGGACTTTCAGTTTTGAAGTTTCCTTTGAGTTCCGTGTTTTTGCTTTTTTACTTTTTATGAATGCAATCATATATCAAAACATTGATAGTAAAGATTTTTTTCACTTTCCGTTCATATTTAGGACAATGCTAGATAGTTACTTCATTTCCTCTCAATACTTGTGTAAGTAATTCCAAGGTGCACAATAACTGTTTGATTTTGAACATTATCTATGATTTTGTGTTTAGCCAAATTGTAAAGATACATATTAACAAAGTATCTGCGCACGGAATACAAGCACACGATTGCATAAGTTAATACAATATTTAGACACCCGTCATATCCTGGGCATTCTCATTCAGAGTGGATGCTATACAATGAATGAGGGAACTTGAGGAAATAATTTTGAACATTTTACCACAATTGTTGCAAAACTTAACCCCTAGAATCTCCCATCATGTACCATTTTATTCCCATGCTCGGATAATCACAATTCTGAATGCAATCAGTATGCCATCACCATTATATTATGTTTAATCATTTTCATAATTTCCATTTACAACAAAAAATATTACATCAGGATGTCTGTCATTTTAACGACATGTATTTTTCCGTAGTTCTCATTTTTGCCACATCCAATAAACAAATATCCTTCACTGTCAAAGCATAAACTATAGGGATAATAGAGGCCCAAGTCTTTGAAAATGAACTGCAGTCCAAGTAAATCTCCTTTCGAATTCATAACCTGTAGTGCATCATTACCACGATCGGAAACTACAATGTTATCACTTGGTGAAATAGTAATTCCCACTGGTTGAAATGTTACTATATCTGTTTGTCCATCATAGGTAAATTTTAAGCGGCCATTTCTATCTACAGCTACCATTCTACCGTTGATGTCACTGTCAAAACGATCAATAACATAGACAACATTTCGAGAATCAGTGCGAATTCTTCCTGCATAACTGAACAATTTATTCCCTTTTTTGTCAAATTCTAATGTTACTTTCCGTTGATAATCACTACCAAAAATTATAACTTGTCGGACCGAAAAATCGTTGGCTGGATGCGGTGGTCCTTGTTCCCGTAATCCAACTATTACTTCATTGTCCTTGTTTACATGTATGGCCAATGGTTTCATCGGGGACAGATCTAAACCAGTTTTTACTTCATACTCAGATGATAAAATTTGAATGTTGTTGGTATTATGGTCTATGAAAAGTATTTCACCATCTTTGTTTATTGCAATGTCAAATATATTTGTTTTACGCGTCTGCAATATCTTTATTGCTGATTTCAAAAGTTTACCTTTCACAAATTGATTTTCCTCAGACGGTACACGACAATAGGTAAAGTAAACTAAATCGTCATCCGTGCAAAGTAAGGTATGAATAGCAGGTAGAGTAGTTGTGTATGAATTGAAAACTGATGAAATAACTGCTGACGTTACCTCTTCGGAACCTTGTGATGAATTCCTGGTATCCTGAATAGAAACAACGTTATGTTCTTGCACAGATTGAAGACCTTGGTGAACAGTAACTTCACAGGAGTTACAAATGCGAATATTGCAATCTTCGCATTTCCATTTAATGTCTTTTTCTATGCAAAAATAGCATGAAACTGGCACTTGGGCTTTTCTTATACTTGAGGATTTAATTGATATCGCCATTTCTACAGTTAAAAATACATGAAGCCACGTGTATCACTTCATTATTATTTGTCACTACATAAACATTGTCAAGGATCAATAATTCACGCAAATGTAATTTCTATATTGAAAAATTTAAAGTCCGATCTTTCCACGGTATAAAGATAAAGAACTGATATTTTCTATACGTGTATACATATTTATGAATGAAAAACGTTGTGTTGTACACATCAATGACCCTTCAGCTAAGAACAAACAACGGGGTCGTACTAGTTTTTTTCTATCTCAACTCTTCCCTTTTTTTAACCTGCAGAAAACTAGCAAAAGGTACGTAAAAAAACTGTTCACTGCAAAATAGTACATACAAGTATTTATACAAATGAATAAAATTAGACACGGGATATACGCCACTGAGATGGCAACCCAACGATACCAATTACCAAAAGACATCTGGGACATCTAGAGGGCATCATATAGTCTTCAACAATAGACCAGTGTTTATACAATATGTATCTAGATCGAAATAAGATGTGTTATGAGTGCCAATGAGACAACTCTCCAATCCAAGTCACAATGTGTAAAAAGTAAACAATTTGGGTCAAATTATGGCCTTCAACACGGAGCCTTGGCTCCCACCGAACAGCAAGCTATAAAGGGTTCAAGGTGATATTGATAATTATCCGGATTCCTTTTATGCCCATACCTTTCTGTTTGTTCATGCTGCATGCTTTACATTTCAAGTGACTTCAATATGGCTGACTCTAGCATTTACAGTTGATCGTTACATCATGATATGTCATCCGTTCAAAGCAGAAAGGTGGTGTACCGTAGATGGGTAATATTTGGGCTTGTGCTAGCAGTAATAGCATTTAATTTTATCAGATTCTTTGAAATGGCTTAATTCAATCAAAAAGATATATTTACAAAAACAAGTAAACATACAATAAACGAATAAATTAGATCTATGACACAATATAAATACAATGTCAAATAAAAAAAGGGGGAAATGTAAAACAATGTCAAAAAGACAACTATAACCTTGGACAAAAAGGCGTTAAATAAATTAACGTACACAGATAAATTTAAAATAATTTTGTTGTAAGGAGTACGGAAATATTTTTTACAAAATAAATACATTTGTTGTTCATAGTACGAGAACAGAAGTGGAAATTTATCGTCATACTAAATACTTATCAAAGGTGGTTCATATCAAAAATAGTGAGACGAGATATAACACAAAAAAAGGTAAACAATGAATAACAAAAATGCATTGTTGTTAGTACGCAAATATTTTTTACAAAATAAATAAATTTGTTGTTCATAGTACGAGAACAGAAGTGAAAGTTTATCGTCATACTAAATACTTATCAAAGGTGGTATATATTAAAAATAGTGCGACGAGATATAACACAAAAAAGGTAAACTATAAATAACAAAAAGGCATTACAAATTGTGTCAACAGGTCAAATTAACAAGAGAGTACTGGCAGTTTCTGAAATCTAGTCAAAAGCCAAAAACAATTAATAATAACAAAAATGATGCATCAGAGACTAAAATCAATTAGAACACATCCCAGAGATTTAGTGTTTTAACGTCATGGACAGTCAAAGAAGACATGACTTGTGTAATGCCAAAACAAAAGTATCGACAGGCAGTCAGATAGTTAGGATTTAACCTTATGATAAATATGTATAATGTTATATATAGATAAAGCAATAGCTATATAGAAAATGAACATCTTATTAAAACATTAATAAGATAACCTTTACTAATAAGTTTGTTTAAAGGTTCGATGAGTTTACACGGACAAAAAATCGTCTCTTTTGTCGTAAATTTTAGTATGGAGTTTACCTTTAGAAAATTGAAATGTCTAAATCTAGAAAAGGACAATTACTGCTGTTTATGTTAGATTTATTTAAAGTAGGTTCCTTTGGGTAAATTTCGGTAGTATATTTAGAGAACTCTGGATTATTTAACGAAAAAATATCATCAAGTTAACGGTAGGTATTGTTGAATGTGTCAACCAAATGTAACAATGACGTGTCTTCACTGATTGGTAATAAACTGAGATTCATAGCAATACAGGAATAAATCTACTATTAAAGGGGTGCAATTAGTGTCCATAGGAATACCTACTACCTGTCGATACACTTTATCGCCGAAACATACATATATGTTGTCCAGGAGAAAATTTAACGTTGCAATCATATCTTCCAGTAATTGCATCTAGCATACTTTCCTTTTTCGTTACAGAAAAGGGCTTTAAACGAGTTACAGCAAATAAATTTACAACGAGATTTTTCCAAAGACCATTTAATTAAATATGAAAACTTTTTCTTGATAAGATTGTGTGGAAGTGTAGTGTAGAGAGTAGAAAAATCATAACTGTCAACAGAACTTAAAGGACCATCAAAAGCACTTATTTTATCTAAAACCTCTAAAGAATTTTTAACACTCCAAAAATAATTAATACCATTATTTTCATAAGCTTTATTACAAAAGTTAATAACAAGTTCTTTGATAGTAGTAAGGGAGGTAGTTAGAAGCACTGACAGATAAGTAGTAGAACACTTACTAGATGCGGAGATTAAACGAAATTTAAATGGTTGTTTGTGTAATTAAGGTAACCTGTACATAGTCGGGACTTTCAAATGTTCGGAAGAGGCTCTTTAAGCTCGGAATATGCAGTGATATGCTTGTTTACAATTTGGCTCTCTGTGGAGCGTACGGACCTGAATGTAGAAGAATTGATCATTTCGTTTTGGAGAACTTCCGTGTATATGCGTCACACCACCACTACATTATTGGCTGCTTTGTCTGCCGGAACGAACACAGGCTGCTGTAGAATTTATATTAAAAATACGATTTTTGAAGCACGTAGATATCCTAGAAGTAGGGCTTTTTTTTAATTTCTTTCAATTACGTAATATCATAATTATATAAATAGGGGTATAGAAAAAAAGACCGGAGGTTGTAACATTGAACAAGGATCACAATTACGGAATAAGAAAAAATAGGCAAATAAGTAAAGAGAACTCGTACAAAGCGATTTCAAAAATGAAAGTGGAGTATGTCATTGCGGCAAAAAATCTTAATGGCAATTTTCATAATGTTGTGTGAACACTGGTTTGACCCATCTGCTGCAAAATGACTTAATTATTGGTCTATGATGATAAGGAGATGATATGGGTATAGAAATATGTCTTCCCTAGTCCGACAGATAAACCCTTGCTAAGACCGGTTTTTCATACAGCTGGATGTATACATATGCATCTTTGTAGGGTAAAATGGGGATTTTTACCCATCCCCATTTTTACCCATATCCAACATATATTGTACCTTAAATAACAAGTGGCAATCCATATATCTCGCCCTTCCTACTTATTATACAGAACCTGGGACTATTATACTATTATTATGTCCCAGACAGAACCTTAATATGGTGCTAATCATTGATATATTCTCATCCTTACTTATGAGTTCGAATGTCCCTTTGGTATATTTCGCCTCTCTTAATATGCTTAAAATATTTGCCATTGGACATTCAGCAAGAAACAATTAAACTATAATTCTGTGCAATATATACAAAAGAATTTTCACACATCTCTTTGACCTTTTTGAAAGAAAATTTACTTTGAAAAAATTTGCCAAAGACGATCTGTTAATTTCATGGTGAAAAGTTTGATTTGAAGGTCTCATTAGACCTTGAATATCGCAGTCATCTCTGCAAGACCAACACAATGTACAAATTTAAAGATGGTGAGTAGAAAGATTTGTTGGTGTTACAAAGATATTGATTTGCCTTTCAACCATGATAGCTGTTTGTGAAATCAATTTCACAACACTTAATATGAAAATAAGTTTTCTTGAAAAATATAATGCTTACAAGCAAATGGTGTGAACTATCAGGACTTGTTTCAATACAAACAAAAAGTATCAGGATAGATCACATACTTTTCAAGTTGTTACCACATATTCCTAGATACATCTACATGTATGGTAGTCACAGTTTTCAACACATTTTTGTTGTTTTTACAAGAGTGCACAAGCTGAAATGTCTTACCTGCTTTACTGCAAGATTGATTTTATGTTGATATTTCTAAAGATAAAGTTTTACTACAAGTATCACAAAAACATAATATTATCAATGATCCATGAAAATGAGGCCAAGGACAACAGATATACATGTATAATGGACGAAAAGTTTGTAACATAAGGCATCTGAATACAAGGTATTGAGCTTCCAGGTCTTCTGCCTCCTGAAATATAAAGCTTTATATAAATAGTTTATGCCCACTCCAAATTGTAATACCTATGTCTCGCATTGTCACTTTCGTCGCAGGCAAGAAAAAAACGTTGTTGGGTTGATGTTTTGTTTATGAATACTCCATATTTCTCCTGCAATCTTTTAAGGGATTTTTGGGTACCAAAATTTGCAAATCTAGTAATGTGAAAGTCTATTGTTAATGTCATTCAGGTGATTAATCAAACATACATAGAATTCTCAGATTTGTACTTTGTGTCTTTTTTGTTGTTAGGGATGTATAAATACCCTGCCAAGTCCGGTCTGTGTTTTTGTTAGATGTTTTTTTGCTTTGTATTGATCTGATGAGTTAAGCCCTTTTCAACTGATTTTTATAGTTTTTTATATGTTGTACTGTAACACCAATGTCCCAGGTTAGGGGTGAGGGTTGAGTGCACACACACAAGTTTAATCCCGCCATATTCCTTTTTTGCGTGTCCAAAGTCCGGAGCCTGTAGTTCAGTGGTTTTCGTTGGTTCATGTCTGTCATATTTGTTTTTCATAAACTGTTTTGTTATAAATTAGGCTGTAAGTTTTCTAAATTGAATTGTTTCATATTTTTCATGTCGGGGTCTTTCATAGCCAACTATACGGTATGTTTTTTTTTTCTCGTTGTTGAAGGTCATACAGTTGCCTATAAATGTTTACATCCACTTCATTTGATCTTTGGCGGATAGTTGTCTTAATGGCAATCATACCACATCTCCTTATTTTTATAATAATTCAAATGAGATAAAAATTGTGCAGAC